TGTTGCGTAGCTTCATCGTCAGCAACAAACCGCATGATGCGCATAGATGTCACTGGAATTACTTGTGCAGTGGATAGGTCTTCCCCTACCTTGAGTACAGCGTCATGGCCCACCCGGAAGTTTGCAAGACTCATTTGCGACATCATCAGCATAGCGTGGTTGATCGTCCGCAAAATGACCTTAGTTCATTGGTCACTGCAAGTTTTTTTTTCAGAATCAATGCAGATTTGAATCTGGGTTTTGATCTTTAATCAATGGTCAGGGTCAAGTTAAAAATTGAGGTATGATGACATCTAGACTTTAAACAGAATAATTGGAACAGTGATCTGTTTAGTTCTTGCATTGCAAGCAAAAACCCATGTGAATCCATGTGAGGAAAATGAGACCGTGGAAAATTTTGAATGGAATCCCATGATGCCTCAAATAAACACAATAATTATATAAGGTAGGGTTCAAAAAAATATTTGTTCATGTCCCATACCTGAACGAATTCCAGATCCCACAGGGCCCGCGCGAAAAAGAGATTGCTTTGCTTTTTTGTGAGTTTTGGCCTGACAGCATTGGCAAATGGACAAGTGGAATGTTTCAATATTCCCCATGCCCCAATCTGTTTGGTCCATCCGCTTACTTACCATTCTTCGCAAGACGGTTGAAAATACGAGAACTTTGCAATTCAAACTTCCCTTCCTAATTTCTAAATTCTGTGAATGGCGCATTTTGTCGGTCCAGTCAGTCGCAAAAATCATTCATATCTTTTGCCCGACACCCTCATGCAAGACCCAGAACTTGAGTGGGAGCATCTACTTACTTAGAGTTAGATACAGGGCTGTTAGTAAAAAACCAAATCTGTGCAACCCTCTGTGTTGCCTTTTTCGTTCTCTGCTGCAGCAAGTTGATCTGATCGCTCGGCTGATGCTTCTGCAATATGTATGCTGTATGCAATGCCGGAGCCTTCTCTCCTATACTATCAAAAACAAAATTTCCTAGCGCTTCACTAGTTGGTACACCTTTCAGAAAGAATTTCACTCGTCATTCTCGAAAGTGGTTGCCCTCATCCTCCTGAATCTCCCATGGTCTGGGGTACGGTCGTCCTTGGTCTTTGTCTCATAGGTCATTCCATGTCCGACAGTGGGCCAAGTCAAGCTCACTGGTGATGCACGATGGGCTTCGACGGAAGATCCACATTCTGGAGTCTTTGGTGATGAAGGTAAGCCAGTAAGCCCTGAAGTAGCCGATGGTTTCAGGCTCATGCTCTTGAGGTCACTCACCAGCTCATTCTCCGAATCAGGTGTTCCCATCAATGTTACTTTGCTCTCTGTCCGGGTCCGTGTTGGTCCCATTGGTGACCGGAGGGCTTTTGTCGGACGGTCTGGGGTAAAGTCAATGGGGCCAAGAAAGCTAAATTCCCGCTTTTGGCCACCCTTCTTCTCTTCCCCCTTTGAATTGGAAGGAACATGGTTTGGACGTTTCTTCGTCTCAGGCGTTGCTAGGATCGGGTCAACGGTGAGCATCGTCTCCCGCATTGGTGTCATTTTTGGGGCCATGACGGAAAGACAGCGCTAAAATGTGTGAAAACTGGACTAGACTCCAAACCTAACCTATTCCCTTCAACTCAAACTTGCTTGAATCAGACAGAGCTGCGCAAACGAACGCGCAAGGTAGCTCGTAAATGTGCAGCCATATACTTTGACCCCAGTTTAGCACCACATTTTATAAATGATATATCACCACATACTGTACTTATTTTATTTCACCAGAAAATAGATAAGTGGGTAATATGACTAAGATTCAATCATATGTATTGCACATGGAACACAAGAAGTATTGAAAAATAAGTTTGGTATGGAAACCTTCAACAGTATATTTTTTGCGATTACCCCTACAGATGCCTTTCGGGGTATGCTTGACCCTGCCCCGCATTTCAGGTGCCTCCACACACTGCTGCCATCCAATTGCTCCGCGAAGACTTTCTTCAGCACCTTGGCACAAATTTAAACGTGACCCCGGCATCGACCAAGTAATTTAATGGGAACTGGGAAGATTTCAGACTCTGGTCCCTGATTTCCAAGACGCTCCCCAAAGGCAAATTTTTGATGGGACATGATGGGATCCTGGAAGGTTCATGGTGCAACTTTATGGGCACTCCAACTTCCCAAAATGATTCAATATGATTGAGGGTACCCTCAGAAACAATCAGAATGCCTGGATTATAATAAAATTGTTTTTTCTGGGGGTTGTTTCCATTTTCCCACCCTCGACCTTTTTTGGTTGCCCGGTGGCAATCACGGGCGATGGCCACACGACGGAATGCCCAATCTGTGCGGGCTGGCCCTCGCCCCTTCAATTTTCAAATTTGGCAGCAACAATATTTGTATTATAATAAGTCTAATTTCTTCCAAGTTAAGAAATATCAGCTTCAGCAACAAGCTTTTCAAACATTGAAATAACTACAGCTCCTCTCATCTCCATTTCCAATCCTGAAGGGCTTTACAAGGGTCAGAGTCTGAGCGTGTGTGAGGCCTACAGTGGGCCGGTGTCGCTGCAAAATGCCGCTCGCTGGCAGAAAGGTCAGGTGGAATCAGTCATGGGCCAAAAATTGAATAATTGTTTATTATTTGAATCAATGAAATTTTGGAGACCACAATTATTAATTCAATTGGGACCTTACTGGAAATAGACTGCAATTAGCTTCTGGGCACCTTTGAACAAATCTGCCGACTCTTCTGGCAGCACGCCGAACTCCGTTGCTACTGCAGCTGGAATCATTTCCTTTTTGGTGATTTTCTTCATGATGGCGGTTCTTTGCTCATAGCCTGGACACAACCAATACTGTTTTACAAAGAAAACACCTGATAGTATAATAACAATAATGGTAGCATTTGATAACCATGATTGGTATGGATTGGGAACAGGACACAACATGTAAAGACAAAGCGGGCCCCAAACAAATTAGTAGCCATCCTATTCCTGTCAGAGCTAAATGTTATTTACAAAAGGTTTAGTTTTGCATCAAAATTGGTCGAGAAACCGAGGGTGAATGAGCAGTGTGTAGCTCCCTCTACTCTTGTCAGCCAGTGATTGGAGGCTGCTCGTAACTCACATGTTTTTGTTCCATTTTTGATTGCGTCATACCACTTCGCTTTCATGGGAAAGTGGACAACCTTCTTCTGAGCGTCTTTTCGGGGCTCCTGCCATCTTAGGATTGGGGGATACCAGATTAACAACAGTCCACTAAAAAAATAATATCCCATTATTTATTTAATCCATCGACTCTATTGATTTTGATGCGCTGGACACTTTTACTTTTAGTATTTAGGGCTGCACTGCTTCACTTGAAATTTATCTGACTGGGTGGACTATGTCCCTGGTTTGTATTGATTCCTAATTATCTGCATAGTTACGTTCAAAAGTGGTCCAGAAATTAAAACGGGATTCTGGTTTGAAGGGTCATTGTCAACCGAGACTCGAAATACTTTCTGAAGTACATAATTTGTGAAGTTGCTACTGCCCCAAAACCCAAGAAAATGGTTTAGTAGGATAGTAGGTGGGTTTCCCTGATGCCTAAATCACAATTTTTAAAGTGTGATTTTGGAGGTTTCATATTCAATCCACATTTTCTTTGATCAATTAGACGTCTAAAAGTTCACAAATTGCACTTTTTGGGGGGAAAAGTGCAATTTTTGGAAGTTCTGGCCCCAAGACCCAAGATAATGGTTTGAAGGGAACTTCCCAAAAATCGCAACTTTTGGGGGGAAAAGTGAATTTTCTGAAGTCGTGGCACAAGTCAAGACCTTATCAGACAATGGCTATTGTTCCCAAAATCGCAACTTTTGGGTGGAAAAGTGAAATTTCTGGCAACCTGACCATATCAAGATAAGCCAAATTAAGGCCAAATTAATGCCAAATTAAGGCCAAATTAAGGCCAAATTAAGGCCAAATTAAGGCCAAATTAAGGCCAAACTAAGAGCCCAAAATCACAACTTTTGGGGGGAAAAGTGCGATTTTGGAGGTTTCATATTCAATCCACATGTTTTTTGATCAATTAGACATCTAAAAGTTCACAAATTGCACTTTTTGGGGGGAAAAGTGCAATTTTTGGAAGTTCTGGCCCCAAGACCCAAGATCATGGTTTGAAGGGAACTTCCCAAAAATCGCAACTTTTGGGGGGGAAAAGTGAACTTTCTGAAGTCGTGGCACAAGTCAAGACCTTATCAGACAATGGTTATGGTTCCCAAAATCGCAACTTTTGGGTGGAAAAGTGAAATTTCTGGCAACCTGACCATATCAAGATAAGCCAAATTAAGGCCAAATTAAGGCCAAATTAAGGCCAAACTAAGAGCCCAAAATCACAACTTTTGGGGGGAAAAGTGCGATTTTGGAGGTTTCATATTCAATCCACATGTTTTTTGATCAATTAGACATCTAAAAGTTCACAAATTGCACTTTTTGGGGGAAAAGTGCAATTTTTGGAAGTTCTGGCCCCAAGACCCAAGATCATGGTTTGAAGGGAACTTCCCAAAAATCGCAACTTTTGGGGGGAAAAGTGAAATTTCTGAAGTCTTGGCACGAGACCTTATCAGATAATGGTTTAGTGACTTTACGATTTTAAAGGTTTCATGTTCAATCCACATGCTTTTTGATCAGTTAGACATCTAAAGGTTCAAAAATTGCACTTTTCGGAAGAAAAGTGTAATTTTTGAAGTTCTGGCCACAAGACCCAAGATCATGGTTTGAATTCCCAAATCACAATTTTGGGGGAAAGTTGAATTTGTGAAGTTTCAGTACAAGTGGGTACGTTTCAAACTGTAAAAAAACTGTAAATTGGATGGTCTCTATTTTCTGATGAGCTGCGATTTTACCCTGACTCTAAATATTAATAATAAGAAGTTAATTGAACAATTGGGAACTGCCGGGTTTACAGTAAATTGAGAAAAGCTGCATCAGCCAACGCCCAAAAGTAAGGCTATGCGAATCGTCGGCAGCAACTACGGCTATCCCATTCATTCATCAAGATTCACTTGCGGTAGCTCAGCCCGCAGTCCAGGGTCCTGGAGGGCGGTGGTTTTGGCTTTTACTTTGGCTTCTTTGGCTTCCCTTTTCTTGACTCTATCCCAAAATTTCTCCCTATCCCGTTTTCTCATTTCTTTCACTTCTGCATCCATCCACTTCGCTACGCCCCCATACTTGGCAAACGGCCCAGCTGCCTCCCCCTTCGGCTTCTCACCCTTTCCATCTTTTTCATCTTTTTCCTCTTTCTTTGCCTTTTCATCCTTTGGCTTTTCACTCTTTGGCTTTTCGTCTTTCGGTTCATCCTTCGTCTTTTCGTCTTTCTTTTCATCCATTTCTTTCTTCTCTGCGTCTTTGGCTTTCTCAGCCGCCTCCTTTTCTGCAGCCTCCTTTGCAAGTTTCTGTCGCAGCTCTTCCCTCATTTCATCCTCAATTTTCTTCCTAAGACGCTGTTCCTCCTCCTTTGCAAGTTCTTCCTCTTTCATCCTGGCTTTATCCTCTTGCTTGCGCTTCTCATCTGCAGCTGCTTTTTCTCTTTGTCGTGCCGCATCCTTTTCCTTCTGGCTAATGGTGGCTGCTTTCTCTTGAGCAACTCTCTCATTTTCCAGCCTCTCCCTCAATTCCTTCTCCCTCTGTTCTTTCAATGCTTTCTCTTCTGCCTTTCTTTTCTCGAGGTCTTCTCGCATTTCTTTTTCAATACTCTGACGAAGCGTGATCTTCCATTCTGGCTCCACACCACCTTCTTCAGCCTCACTGTCTGTCATGCCTTTCTTTGTCTGCCTTTCCTGTGCTGCCTTGACTTTGAGTAGCCTGCTTTCGTCTGTAATATCTTTCACTTTCCTGCCTGCCATAAGAACCTCACAATCCCTGCTCTTTTCCTTGCCAGACTTTGACTTTAGCCAATGCCTCGTCTCAGGACCTGTGCCTTCAGTGGTCACCTCCCAATCTTGGCAGGTGTCCACGGGTAGCTTCAATTCTTTGCTTTCAACAGGAAAAATCAGGTACATTTTCCCTGAGCCATCCGTGTCCACAAATGGGGCGGGCTTGGAATCCTTCTCATCAGTCTTGCTTGCTTCTGCTTCCTCCTCTGAACTGTCAGCACCAAATTCTTCCTCTTGCGTGTCCTTCTTGTTGTCGTGCTCCTGCTTTACCTTTCCCTTCTGCTTGCCGGTCTCAGCTCCTTGTTTTGGTTTCATTCCTTTCAATGGCTCCGGCTTGTCAGAGCGAAGATCTTTGGGCTTTTCCGGTGCCTTGACTTCGTTGAAAAAATCCCTGCACGGAATTTCATCGAAATCATCGTTGCCGTCCTGCCACAAGTAATCCATTTCTTCATCTTTGTCATTCCTCACTTCCCAGACCGAGTCTTCTTCTGGAGAGCCCAGCTCAACTGTTTCTTTGGTTGGCTTGTGGGTAAGGTAGTACTTCTGTTTTTTCTTCACCACAATCCATCCTTCATCACCCACGCCATCATCATCCTCTGCCTCTAACCCACTATCACCACTTTCCGTAGCCTCCTCCTCATCCTCTTCACAGCCCTTCTTCTTTCTTTTCTTCACCCAGTCTGGTAGGGGTGCAGGTTGGGTGGATGAGATCTTTTTCGGAAGCTGTCGTGAGTAGGCTCCGATGTCACCTCCAGGCTGCACCTTTTTCATATACTCCACCATGTATGCCCTCACTTCTTCTGGGCCCCAGCCTGTGTGGGCCAAAGGTTTTCCTCTTCGCTTGTACTCCTGAGTCACTGTGTCCAGCATCTTTTCCTTCTTTCTCCTCGGCTGATGATTTGGGTAGGCTGCAACGGTTAGAAACGTCTTGGTTATGTGGAAGGGAGCCCCGGGAAGGATCGGAAAGGATACCCGTTCAGGAAGAATCTGGTCACAGTCAGAAATTTTATATAAATTGTTATTTTGGGTAATGCTCAATTGACGCTTCATCAAGAAAGATTCCTGAAGTCTTTTGAAATCGTTTGAAATCTCTTGAAACAGTTTTAAAGGGGCACCATTTTGGGGGTCAAAGACCCAGACCCGGCTCAACAAAGTTTCTCTGTCGGTGGGTCGCTCGGCCAAAACCCAAAGCAGAAAGCCATCAGCAAGAACAGGACTTCTCGTTCAACTTTCTTGGTCACGCAGCTGTTCAACTTGTTGGGTTCCGCTGTGGATAGCCACAATCTGAAATGGCAGTTCTTAGTCAGCCGGGCTGAGATGTGAATAGCTATGGGATGTTGATTTGGAAACAAAAAATTGAATCGGGTCTACCAAGGGCAATATATGCAATACGCAGCCAGACTGAATCATCAGCAACATTGACATTGTTTGAAACTATTGCTAGATTGGTCTAGTGACAGGCATGTCCTGCAGGGATGGATGATTGTAGTACTCCGTATCCACCGTGCGACCACTATCTGACTTCTTCGCCTTCCTCTTTGGTTCCTTCTGCTTTGCCTTGCTTTTCGCAGCTGGCTTTGGATTCTTCCCTTTGCGCTTTGTCTCTTCTGGCTCTGAGGCAGACGGCCCATCTTCTTCTTCAGGTTCCAGAGGAAGCCGGGTTCCATCGGGCCACCTGGGAGAAGTGAGTATCTTGGCAGAAGAAGTTGGTGATCTCGGTGGGTGTGGGAAGGGCTGTTTCAAAAAATGGTCAAAACATAAACTTCTGGATGCAGTCGTAGATGGGGTAACAGTAGTAGATGGCCGGGAAATCAATGATTCAATGATGAAAACGGACATGACTGATATGATGGAATGGGCCAAACATGGCAAGACAGCAACCCCAAGATTTCAGTCAGAAACAAAAAAGAATAGAGATTAGCAGTTTAGACACATCATATTTAATGTCAACCCTGGATTAATAAACCCCTAGGCTTTTTAATTGGGAGGGTACCATTTATGTACCATATTGTGACTATTTGGAGGGTACCCCCTAATTAATAAACCATGGTTTATTAATCCGGGGTTGACATTATCTACCAAAAGTCATCAAGAAATTCTGATACTGAGATTCCTGAGTACTTCTGAAAAATCAGACCGGTCAAGGGACTCAACCCCAGCGCCCTTCTTTCCTCCCATTCTTCTTTTGACTGCGACAGTTTCACGCTCATCATCATCATCCTCACTTTCTTCCTTCTTGCTTCTCGACGAAGGTCTTTTGTCCTGCATCTTTTGCCTCTTTTTCGGGGGCTCTTCCTCACTCTTATCTTTCCGTGATGTCGCCCGGGTTGAAGATGTCCCGGACCGCCCCATGATGGGGAACACACACAGGAAAAATCGAATTGATCTGATACGTACCGCTTGAGTCCCCAAAGTTGCCGGTTCCATGGAATGGCATTCCAACAATGTTTGATTCAGCTAGGTTTCTTCAAGGATGTATGAACCTGAAAGCCTCCTCAATGTTTTTGAACACATGGATTCTTTCCAAACACGGACTGGCAATGAGAATAACTATAATAACTGGAAATTTGGATGTGTTTCGATAGTAAGATAGTACCACATATTAACAGTAACGTTGTTCTTCTATTCCACACATAAGCTGAAACGGGTTCTCACAGCAATTCTTTCGCTCAGCTCGTTCGAGGGAGTCCGCAGAGTTTTCAAATGGCCTGATTTCAGAAAATCCTAGGCCACGAATTGGTGGCTACTTGCCAGAGAACCTGAAGGAGACCAGGGCGATTAACTGTATAACCCCAATGCTGCTCCAGTGCATGCAGTTCCCTGCGATTTTGGAGCATCGTTTTATGTCAGTGAGTGGCAATTCTTTGACCCTCATCTTTCGTGCAATTTTAGAAGTCACAGGAAATCCAAGGGATGCAAGCTTTTCTCGCCCCGTTAAAAAGCGGGACAGCTGGACCCCCCACATGAGACCTCCTGACATTCTTAAAGTAGGAATTCGGCCACTAGCAGCAGACCATGATCGCCGCTCTGCGGAATCCCCCAAATAAATAACAAGATCGGGGTCTTTTTCCGGGTCCTCTCCGTACCTCTTTTTGTAGTCCTTTTTCAGCTTTTGCAGGACTTCTTTTTCCCTTTTCGTCAGCAAGTACTTCAAACAGAGTGGCCTGTCTTTCTGTACCTTGGCGAGTGGCGAATTGAAAGATTCCAGGGGCCTTCATATAACCCAAATTTGTTGACAGAATGTAAGACTTTTGAAAACAAACTCCGCCGCGATGGGAAATACATCTACTATTAAGTGTTGGAAATGATCCTGTAGTAAGTAGGTCACAACAGGAATTTAATTGACGGTCCTTGACATGCATTCATGCATTTGGATGGAAATATGTGGAACTACAATGTAAAATGTAATTTCAACATTTAAACCACGATGCGGGTTTCATCCTGCGCCCCCGTGTGCGCGCAAGATCAGCTGCAGCTAGCTGTACTTCTCTGATACTGGAAAAGAAGTAGTCTCGAGGTCTGGTAGAAATCACGGACTTGATATGATTGGTGATCAGATCATAAAGAGAGTGAGGGTCATAGCATTGTATGGTCCGCTGTTTGTGGGCCAGAATCAGGTAAATGCGCTCCCGCCGAGCCCCATGATGACCAACCTCATCTGTATCCACATAGAAGGTGTAGATAAAGTAGTGCTCGCCGTAAAGGGCATCGATGAGCTTCAATCGCAGTCCCTTTAGGGATGGGAATGCTATACAACCAATCCGACAATACGGAAAAACTACTTGGACTTGACCTAGTTCACATAATAGCAGTTTAACAGCTACTCAGCTACACTGTTTGTATTGTCTCTTAAAACACCCTACAATATTTCAATAATAGTCTGTCCTTGACGTTTTCGATGATGATCAAAGGTGTGCCGACTGCCACATGACGCTTTGCATGGGTCAGAAAAGCCCCGATGGTGGGACCATTTTCACCCAAGAGCTTGCCCACCAAACTGTAATCCCAACAGGGTAAGCCCGCTACCTCTAAGTCACTCCCTTTGTCAAGGCGACATTGCTGATTGTGCGTGTAACAGTATTGCGTTGAAAACAGCACTGCCTCATCAACTTTTTTGAACTTTGTCCAAAAATCATTTGAAGCATCAAAGGTGTTCTTGGGAATACAACGCTCCAAATTCCCAAAGACGCATGGTGCTCTGCAGACCCCGCCAACATGCAGTTTGACCCAGTCAAAATGGTCATGTATCAATTGACGGCAACCACGGTCCCACTCCTTAGTTAGTGGATGATGGATATTTTCATTGAAAAAACATGGGGAGAAAAAGGGTTCAGTACTCCAACATCAAAAAACTCTGGGACATGAATCTGATTCAAAAATTTTGTGCTGTAAACCAATTCAAGATTCATGACAACTCACAGGGGTAAATCGCACTGTGAACGGGGCAGTACTATTGGTGTTGATTATGGATTCCAGAGACACCAGACTGAGTTCTGAGGTCATTGTTCCCGTACAGCTACTGGACGTTCGCGATGCCTTTGCGAGCATCGATTCCTGCGCGTTGGCGCTGCTGGTGCTGACATTGTGGGTGCTGGATGATTTCTGATGATGATGCAACTGTTTTTCGATGTCTTTCTGTTTGAAAACCTTATTTATTTACTTGAAAAGTAATATATATATATTATAAACTAAACTAAATTTTAAATGCCCGATCTAAAACAGTAGTTTGTTTGCCCCAGGATCCTTCAAAACGCTTTGAGGGACAGTTTTCAGTACCATATCAACAGCCATTGAAAGAGCCCCTGCTGCTTTCCGTAACCGTTCGCCATCAGAATGCTTGGCCTCAAACAGAGACCCCAATGCTCCCCAAAAAAAACTTAAAAAACCAAAATTTACAGGATAGTTTGGGGATGCAAAAGAAAACCATTGACGTTAAAATCACAATTTGGAGGAACTGATGCTGAACTTGATCCCCTGGATGAAGGAGGTTCACTTGACGTATATCGCGAAAGCGACGCAAATCCCATAGAAGACCCAGCATCTGAACACGAATGCCGTTGGTGCCGACTGTGACAGCATGGCATCGCGCTGTGAAACCATTTGAACAGTGAGTAGGTCTTGTTGAAAAGAACATGCATAGCTTCAGTCAAATGACATAAGGTAATCAACAGGATGATTTGATCGTCATTTGCAGTTTTTTTTTGGTCTGTACTTATATGATCATGTATGCATGTATTGCATGTATTATGAATTTTGTTTTGTACTTCCATGGTGGTTTTGCGTTTTGAGAAGTTTTGAAATTTTGGCTTCTCCTGCTGACTGTCGGGCGGCAAAAGGAAGTTTCTCTCAATATGGACAAATTAAAGTTGTGATTCATGATTTGTTTTCCAAACTACCCCGAAAAAAAACATTTATAGTTTGCTGCAGGGTTCTGAAACGTGTTTCCTCCTAAGCTGGGGTTCCACACCAGCGGCGGAGCGTATGCTCCACGAAGAATGTTTGGTGACCAAACATAGCACAGTTCCTGGGCGGAAAATGAAGTCATGGTCAAAGCAAAAACTGAACAGAGTGAAGGGCGAAGCTTATGTTGGAAACCAACCCGGCCCCCAATTAATTATATAAGTGTTTTTTTTTGAAGAGTGTAGCCGTCCCTACATGTTACATCAACGACTGAGTGCATCCAAGAATCTGTTGGCTTTCCGGCGATGCTCGACCCATCGATGTAAACCTGGCTGCAACGACGTCAAAACAAATGCATCTTACTTTTTTCTGCACTGAGATAATCCCACTGTTCTTAATCCCGGTCAATTTTTATTTTTTCTGTCTTATGCGATTTATTTGCACGCCCTGCCCCCCTCTGGATGTTTGCTCGCTGACAAGTAACGTGGAAAACATTGCACTTGTTGAGTTCCGCTCTGGCTCTTGCCCAGTATGTTTCCTTCAGTGGCCGGTGAGCCAAAAAAACAGTTACTGCAGTTTTGATTCACATGTCTGACCCCTGTAATAAATTACTGTTCCACACCCCATCAAAATTATTTTTTTGGGACCTTTTGTCTTGCATCATGTTGTAGATTGCAGTAAGTCATTGTTGTAGATTGCTGTAGTATTTTCAAAATGCCCTTAAAAACGATTCGTCATGAGAAAAACAAAATAAATAGAAAGCAATCGAGACTCACAAACCATCGAACAGAATCGGCTGATTTGCATGCTGTCCAACTTCCAGTCATCTAGCAACTTGCGGACAGTGAGACCAGTATCATCCTTGCAAGTGCTGTGAGCGACTGGGGAAACAATTGAATGAGGCGTAAAATTAAAACCATAAACAAAAACACGTAGCGGAGGAAAAAAAATGATAAAATGTTTTCAAATGCACTTCAAAGGGTCGTTTTCAAAAAGCAAGAACACAGCGGCATCAATGGCTACAGCATTTCTTACAAGTAAATGCTCCTGTTGGTTCTTTTGACGGGTTTGACGACGATCATCAGTACTCAGAGCCAATCTTGAAACATTGTTGTCAACCCACAGCGCTGTTTGCGCCAGAATTGTCCAGATCACCGGTTGTAGGAGAGTGCGAGCCCCTTTCTTTGGATCTAGTGAAAAAAGGATGTAATCAATCCAGTCAGGCCGGTCCCAGGTGGAGGTTACATCATCATCCGCTACATCATTTCTTTTTGCTTCCCAAAAAGGCACAATCCGTCCCTTCAGGACGGCGTTCCAGAAGCAACGGCTGTCCACGCAACTGTTCCTGTCTGATACCTGCACAGCTGTAGCCTGCGAATTCCTACCAACAGGTTTGATTTGGAAATGCAAAGTTCCTGCCACAGCCAAAACATGTTTCAACAACCTTCTTGCAAATTTTTTGCTCTTGTCCCGTTCCGGACGCATTCGTTTGTTCTTGGAAATTGCCCACACCAACCAGCAAAATGCAAAAGATGTTGGCATTGCGAGTTTCTTCAAATAAAGTCCACCTTGTTGAGGTTGTGCCCCATGTTTCGATCGCAACAGTGAAGGCACTTCACAATCGGGCCATATGTTTCTATGAATGTCCTCTATTTCTGACATTTTGCTGTTGAAATGGGATCGAATTGATTCTTCATCTTGCGTTGAAAAAAGGTTCAGCAAAAATGTCATAACATCCCACTGTGCTTGTAGCTCTTGTCCCCTGTCTATGACAGTGACCCAAAGACCATCAGGTAGGCTATGAATTTCAAGCGGCACCAAATTTGCGTCTCGCGAGTGGCCACCATCATCATCTTCATCTACATCCATGAATGCTGAGCGTTTTGAAACTGCAGTGTCTGTTCACTTTCTGTTCACTCCGTTTCCCTCTCTGTCTAAGTGAAATTGAAATTTCCAATTGCCTACTGTTTCATGTGTGAACAAGTAACTTAAAATTGTCCTTTCCAAAAGATTCTTGTTTTGTCACCATTCAACACAGCTCTGAGCCTAAGGGCGCGAAGGACCCTCGCTGTCAATCCCAGTTTGTGTATCTCAGTAACTCAAAAATTCGATTCTGCACTAGTATTTCTGTCATGACCTTGGTTTGGATTAATTCATTCCGGCATTGTCTTTTTTCTCTGGGTATTAGCTTTCATGTCAAAAGCTTATTTTGGGCTTATTTGGCCTTATTTCTTGGAATGTGCATTATTTTGTTAAACCATGTCAAAAGCTTATTTTGGGGTTATTCAGGCTTATTTTCTGAAAATTAAATAGTACCTTATTAAGCCTTAATAAGGTTTAATTAAGCCCAAATAGCAATTAAATTCTTATTATGGCCTTATTTCAGGTTTATCTTGTAGGGGGGGGGTTCAAAGGGGGGGGGGTTATCATTTTGTGACATTGGTTGTCTCAGATCCCCCTCCAAGAGTTCTTCTTCTGGCGCTCGAGTCTGGATGCACTTTTTGTGCTCAGAATGTGAAACCGTTGGAAGGCTCAATTTCAACCTTTGGACCATTCACATCCATTCACATCAATGTTGAATCACAATTTGAATCAATCTTGTTCGATTGATATCTGGAGTCACTTGATGCGACTTCTGCGCGCAATGGCCATCAGAAGATGGTTCCTGCTGGGTCTGTGGGACTGGGTCCATTGTGACTGATAGATTTGGGTCCCTTGGATGACATCGACCTTGTATATTTTTGTATATATAAACTTTATATACCCTATGGCAATCAAACATGCCAATGGACAATCCAGAGGGTAAGCATGTTTAAGGCACCATTTTTCAGGATACACATAATTTCCCATTACATATATATATATATATATACACATGCATATTAATATATATATATATGATTAATTATACTAGACTTAAATGTAGAACACACACACACACCCTAAAATCCCCTAAGGTGTTCTTCCAAACTTCACCAGTCATCATGTTTTTCGTCTCCTGTCCTGTCCTGTCACCAGTCAGCTGAGGAAATCCAAATCCGAGAGACTTGACTCCTCCTGAGATGCCACGTGGCAGAAAACGGGGCCGATTGATGCAGATCAATTCCAAGGGATTGATATGTCATGAATACGGGACATGAAATGGGATAATTAATGTGATTAACATGGGATGAATATGCGATATATTCCGATATATATATAAATGAATATGGGATGAATATAGGATGAATGACATCAAAACCGACCTGTTATTTGATGTATTATCTGAGAAAGAAAGAATATTAAAGGAGTCCCCACCAATCCAATTAAATTGTTTTCACATTTTGTAGTATTCCAAGAAACATGCTTCAAGACTTGCATAGCGCCGAAATCAGCCGAATATTACTTTCAATGCGGTGGCTCATATTGAGTCTTACATGCTATAACATTTGACTCAAGGATTCCCAAACACTTCTGCTCCGATGAACAAATTTCCAGCGACATCAAACCAGCCTATACAGGAAGAGACTGTCGCTATGCACGGCTGAGCCCGAACGATGAAGGATTAAAGGTAAGGATGAGGTAGAAGCCTCTGAATCTCCGCCATGCAGAAAACCAGTAGCTCATGTATGATGGAAAGAAGATATATAATAGCATAATATAAGATATAATATGTATGTTATATATAATATATATATATACGTGTATATATATACGTATATATATATATATATATATGCCATGACATAATTGGATAAAGCCGGATACAACATGATCAATCACGGATATATTCGGTCACCTCCATCCCTTCTCGCCTCATCTAGGGCCATGGGAGCTACGGGCCCTGAGGTCAGAAAGGTGGTATTGAACATGGAAACATGGAATGGAAAGTCACTTCCTGCTCCAATTTTTCATCGAATCTTTGTGAGATATGTATCCGATAGTAGCATTAGTTTCAAGGGATTAACACCAACTAGTTTATGGGATATAACATGATATAACATGATATTGCTATAAAAGCCCATCGGTTTTCCGGAAAACAATAGAGTATGATGAGCACGGCAAGGCCGACCACGGCCTCGCGCACCGGTCCATAGTGGCTGGTCTGTCAGCTGCGGATGGGGGGACTCCTCCAGTGGCTGGATCATCTGGGAGTGGAAAAAGTCTAGTTAGACCATCTGCAGTCACAATCATCTTAATCCGTTTTCCATTGAACCTGAGTCTTTTCCACGTCTATGTTCGTTGGAGTAGGATACAACAATGCATTCCAAATTCTGTCACCAATGATCCTTATAGAGCAAACTGTTTTCCCACAGCAATAGTTGCATCACACACCTATAGGTCCAGCCTACAATAATGTTGCAGTCGCACAGCAAAACATAGTTCTGTACAGTGTCTGATTGATGCACACCCCTTTTGCATGGTACATATCATATATGCATATCATGTATATATATATATATTATATATATATGATTATATATATATTTATGATTATATATACATATCATATATATATGTATATGTCATTGTATGGTAAATTCATAACTTATTTTATCTACATTATATCATATTATAGCATTCAGAATCTAGCCATCACCCAGAGAATCTGAGGCTCCTCCTCCTGGGGCCCCAAAAAATGTGACGCAAAGGTGGCGTTGCCCGCCGCGTCACTTTCCGCCATGCCCGAGCTGTGGCTCTGCTGATCCTGAGTTCCATGACTTCACCATCGACCAAAAAATCAACAAAAATCAATGAACCAAATGGGATAATCATGTATAATATATATATATATAATATATATATACACAGATATAGAACTATAAAATACTATATATATAATTATATAATTATATATATATATGTATAAATGTATGTACAAAAATTTGGATGATTTCGCATGGCTGGAAAATGGGAATTAACCGTCAACATGGATAATCCATAACGAATGACAGGCAACACAACATAATAAAACTTATGCTCAAAAGAAATTGGTGAATGTGAATAATACATGTAATAGATGGGTTGGTCTGTCAATGGAGGATCCTCCCAAATAATCAATTAAATGGAAAAACCTATGAAGCAATATCGACATAAACTTAGACCAATGGATTTGAGGGTTCCAAATTTCCAGACAACCGCTGTCGGACAACCTAACATCAACGTTCTGCAGAGCTTGGATCCCTGCCATCTCGGCTGTCTGGGGGGAAGCCATCTCTGCGGTAATCGGGTCGCCTGCAAATAGGTCTCACCAGGTCTCACTTTCATGTTTTGGCTGGTTTTCAGAGACGAACAGACTTTGTTTTGCAAAGTCAGATGGTACTGCAAGTTCCTGCAAGAGACCAGAAATTCATAGATCACACACAATATCACACAATTACGCAATTATATAGTCATATAGTCCAAGAAACAGGTCCACTAGACACAGTCTACATCATTATTCATCATTGTCCATCATTCTCCATCATTGTCCACCATGAATCAAAGCAAGTCGCAAGTTTGCACTCGCTGGCGCGGAATCCTCTCACTGCATCTGGTGACAACTGACTTCCGGCCTTCTGCTTCATGTCCTCTCGCTGCAGCCTGTGGCTCCGGCTTCTCCTGAGACGCCTCACATGTCAGGAACTCTGAAATATGTTCGAAGCGGTAGAATGTGATAGACTCAGAGATGAAGATGATCAATTCAAAGATAAGATAGATCGTCATGCACCGCTTGCTGTTTGGACTATTCAGCAAGTAACATGCTTGGAATACACGTATACACTCTGTTTGATTCAATTGAACTAGGTCGCAAAGACTCTGGCACTCCACACGGACATGAAACTGGAGTTTTGTTGACAAATTTGTGCGGATTGATGTGACTTATGTATGGCTTATGTATATGTCCTCTTTGTATGAGGTGATATCAACTCTGCTGCTAGTGCCTGGATTCATGAAATTGAATCCAAAATGGCAATCTAAATGGACGCATAGAAAATCACATAAACACTTCGTTGTCATAAACCAATGGATTTGAGGGTTCCAACTTTCCAGACAACCGCTGTCGGACAACCTAACATCAACGTTCTGCAGAGCTTGGATCCCTGCCATCTCGGCTGTCTGGGGGGAAGCCATCTCTGCGGTAATCGGGTCGCCTGCAAATAGGTCTCACCAGGTCTCACTTTCATGTTTTGGCTGGTTTTCAGAGACGAACAGACTTTGTTTTGCAAAGTCAGATGGTACTGCAAGTTCCTGCAAGAGACCAGAAATTCATAGATCACACACAATATCACACAATTACGCAATTATATAGTCATATAGTCCAAAAAACAGATCCACTAGACACAGTCTACATCATTATCCATCATTGTCCATCATTCTCCATCATTGTCCACCATGAATCAAAGCAAGTCGCAAGTTTGCACTTGCTGGCGCGGAATCCTCTCACTGCATCTGGTGACAACTGACTTCCGGCCTTCTGCTTCCTGTCCTCTCGCTGCAGCCTGTGGCTCCGGCTTCTCCTGAGACACCTCACATGTCAGGAACTCTGAAATATGTTCGAAGCGGTAGAATATGTAGAATGTGATAGACTCAGAGATGAAGATGATCAATTCAAAGATAAGATAGATCGTCATGCACCGCCTGCTGTTTGGACCATTCAGCAAGTAACATGCTTGGAATACACGTATACACTCTGTTTGATTCAATTGAACTACAGTAGATGGACAAATTATTCAAACCCCTATCCATGAGTTATAGGCCACCCCCTACCTCCCCCGAATTTCAATGTTATGGTTTCGTAGCGCTGTTCCTGCTCTGGGGGTTTGATTTATTTCGTCCATTCGAAGGAACGAACCAAACAAGAAAATAACATTGATATTTGGGGTAAGGGGGATTGCTCTATGTATAAGGGTTTGAATAATTCGTCCATCTACGGTAGGTCGCAAAGACTCTGGCACTCCACACGGACATGAAACTGGAGTTTTGTTCACCAATTTGTGCGGATTGATGTGGCTTATGTATGGCTTATGTATATGTCCTCTTTGTATGAGGTGATATCAACTCTGCTGCTAGTGCCTGGATTCATGAAATTGAATCCAAAATGGCAATCTAAATGGACGCATAGAAAATCACATAAACACTTCGTTGTCATAAACCAATGGATTTGAGGGTTCCAACTTTCCAGACAACCGCTGTCGGACAACCTAACATCAACGTTCTGCAGAGCTTGGATCCCTGCCATCTCGGCTGTCTGGGGGGAAGCCATCTCTGCGGTAATCGGGTCGCCTGCAAATAGGTCTCACCAGGTCTCACTTTCATGTTTTGGCTGGTTTTCAGAGACGAACAGACTTTGTTTTGCAAAGTCAGATGGTACTGCAAGTTCCTGCAAGAGACCAGAAATTCATAGATCACACACAATATCACACAATTACGCAATTATATAGTCATATAGTCCAAAAAACAGATCCACTAGACACAGTCTACATCATTATCCATCATTGTCCATCATTCTCCATCATTGTCCACCATGAATCAAAGCAAGTCGCAAGTTTGCACTTGCTGGCGCGGAATCCTCTCACTGCATCTGGTGACAACTGACTTCCGGCCTTCTGCTTCATGTCCTCTCGCTGCAGCCTGTGGCTCCGGCTTCTCCTGAGACGACATGTCAGGAACTCTGAAATATGTTCGAAGCGGTAGAATATGTAGAATGTGATAGACTCAGAGATGAAGATGATCAATTCAAAGATAAGATAGATCGTCATGCACCGCCTGCTGTTTGGACCATTCAGCAAGTAACATGCTTGGAATACACGTATACACTCTGTTTGATTCAATTGAACTAGGTCGCAAAGACTCTGGCACTCCACACGGACATGAAACTGGAGTTTTGTTCACCAATTTGTGCGGATTGATGTGACTTATGTATGGCTTATGTATATGTCCTCTTTGCATGAATGACAGGTGATATCAACTCTGCTGCTAGTGCCTGGATTCATGAAATTGAATCCAAAATGGCAATCTAAATGGACGTATAGAAAATCACATAAACACTTCGTTGTCATAAACCAATGGATTTGAGGGTTCCAAATTTCCAGACATCCGTTGTCGGACAACCTAACATCAACGTTCTGCAGAGCTTGGATCCCTGCCATCTCGGCTGTCTGGGGGGAAGCCATCTCTGCGGTAATCGGGTCGCCTGCAAATAGGTCTCACCAGGTCTCACTTTCATGTTTTGGCTGGTTTTCAGAGACGAACAGACTTTGTTTTGCAAAGTCAGATGGTACTGCAAGTTCCTGCAAGAGACCAGAAATTCATAGATCACACACAATATCACACAATTACGCAATTATATAGTCATATAGTCCAAAAAACAGATCCACTAGACACAGTCTACATCATTATCCATCATTGTCCATCATTCTCCATCATTGTCCACCATGAATCAAAGCAAGTCGCAAGTTTGCACTTGCTGGCGCGGAATCCTCTCACTGCATCTGGTGACAACTGACTTCCGGCCTTCTGCTTCATGTCCTCTCGCTGCAGCCTGTGGCTCCGGCTTCTCCTGAGACGCCTCATATGTCAGGAACTCTGAAATATGTTCGAAGCGGTAGAATGTGATAGACTCAGAGATGAAGATGATCAATTCAAAGATAAGATAGATCGTCATGCACCGCTTGCTGTTTGGACTATTCAGCAAGTAACATGCTTGGAATACACGTATACACTCTGTTTGATTCAATTGAACTAGGTCGCAAAGACTCTGGCACTCCACACGGACATGAAACTGGAGTTTTGTTGACAAATTTGTGCGGATTGATGTGGCTTATGTATGGCTTATGTATATGTCCTCTTTGTATGAATGACAGGTGATATCAACTCTGCTGCTAGTGCTTGGATTCATCGAATTGAGTTTCTCAGCCAAAACGAAACACCACCAAAGCGATTCGAGAACATAAGCCGATTCAAAATTCAACAAATGACGTGCTTAAATATTATCGCACGATTGCATGATTATGTATATATATATATTATCATATATAAACAATAAATAAATAAATAGATAAATAAATAAGTAAATATAAATAAATAGATAGATTATAAATAAATAAATAAATAAATATATATACATATATATATATCCAATAAATGATGATAATACAACATATAATAATTATATATAATATCATTGTTGGATGATTGATATCTAAACATATCTAAACTATTACACCTTAAACTGATGGTAGCTGTGCGACTTAGACTGCCGCCTTGCCAACCCGAGGTCGGCCCGTGGCCCCCTTCGGGCCCTTCGGGCTGCCTGATGGAAGGGAAAATCAGCAGGGATGAAGGAAGCTCCAAGAAATACTGCTCCATTGTTGTACTTTGGTTCGACATCCATGCTCGAAGCAGAAGCAGAGTAGTCAGAGAACCAATGACTTTGCCATCTGAAACAGTAGACTTTGCTGGTTCACAGATGGGGTTGTCTCAAAACTTGGAACCACAAAATTGATGGTTCATCATACTATAATTTCGTAATACATTATAATTTTCCTCATTAAAACAATTGAAATGTCTATGACTCGGGACATCCCCATTTTGTGACCAATTTATGTTGTCGAAGTATGGCCAACAATGGGGTACATGGAACATTTGATGGATGATGTCATTTCGATAGAAATACAGTGGGAGTTCCCTGTCAACACTTTAAACACTCTTGGGGGGAGTTTGTGACAGTTTTCCCCATGTCAATGGATTGGTTTAAGGGGAAAATCTAAAGTCTAAGGGAAATCACCCGGCCTGCCGAAGATGCTGCTTGTGATGAGACGAGTTCTCGCCGTGGCACCTTGACATCAACAAATCTGATGGATTCGACTGGGGGATCCACAAGACCAACTATCCGCAATTTCTCGTTTATCATACTGTGTGGGGGGTTCCTCAAATGGGGGTACCCCCCACATCATCCAAGCCGTGGATGACCATGACTTAGTATATATATATATACTTAGTATTTTTCAACAACATGAAACAACCATGGGTTTTACTATGGTTTTACTATGGGATCCCCCATTTTAGGAAACCTCCACATTATAATATCGTATAATATCGTGAATCATTCCATATGTACAGATCAATTGAGGCGGTGAAGAACTGAGGCTGGAGCAACTGGCGAGCCAGGCAAGCCAGGAGAGCCAGGCGAGCCAGGCGGCTTCGAAGGTTTGGGCATCTCTTCCTGTGGGATTCATATGATATCTGGCACACACTGACTAATAGAATCTAATAGACTCATTGGGGGTATTTATATAGGATTTTATAGGATTATTTCTAACATGGCTATGTAAATGCGTGTAAATACATGTTAAATCATGTTAATACCATGCCACAGTTCATAGATTGGATGTTGAAATATAAATAATTGTTGGTTCTGGGCACGAATCGCATCCCTCCAATCAGGGACCCCAAGTCATGAGTCCAATCCTAAACCAAGATTCCGTTTGGGTACTTTAAAGCACGGGACGGGACTAGACCCGTAAACCGATTGAGATGTGGCTTTCGGCCCATGGCTATCCCCATGGCTATCCATGCGACGCGCACCTTGAACTTCTCGCCCAGCTGGGCGGCTTTCTCTTTTCCCAGCTCAGTAAGCAGGGCCAGTTGTCGAGCAAGCCCCTCCTGCACTGCCAGGTACACAAATTGAGGTTCTCAGAGAATGTCGTGTGCAAAGGTACCCCCAACTTATGCTATACTAACAGCAAATCTAATTATACATTCGACATATGTGTAATTATGATTAATTATGTAAATACAGTCAGTGTAAATAATTGTAAATATATGATACTCACTCTAGATGTGATTGGGTATGACTCCCGCTTCAGCTGGCTCTTCAGCTTTCAGCTTCTGCGGCTTGGGGCATCCTCCTCCTCTGAAGGTAGTAGAAGGTAGTCGGACGAAACCTCAGCGAAGGCTCGGGATTCAACGAAAATTCCATGGGATGGCAGTGTGTCAAAACCTTGTACCCCTGTAGTTCACATCAAAATAGCTGGGATTTATGGATGTGAATAACCCCCTAAAAATTGTATTTTCATAGGTATTGATCCATAGCCATATCATATCTACCATCCTCCTAATTCTTGACCATCCTCCCAACGATTAAAAAAAGGCCCTGCCCTGAGCTGGGGGTTGGAAGATGTTGGAAGATGAGTTTACAAGCAGCAAGAACTTCCAGACTTGTACACTTTGAAAGGCTTGTGAGAAATCTGTTTTTAAATCTATATAAATCTGCTACTTGTGGAGGATGGGACCAGGATTGGAACAACAGCTTATCATTCAAGTGTACTCCCACCGTTTGTCCATGCGGCTCTGCAAAGGTCTTGTGAGTCCCAAACAAGCTGCTGCACAGTAGAAAGTGGAAGGAGGCCAGATGTCAGAGCCTCCGCAGCCTCCAATGAACAAGTCTTGCCTTTTCCCTGCTATCAGGACTTCTGACTGACACTTAAGAAAAACAACTTTAGGACATTTTAGGACACAGTATTTTAGGATGTTTTAATAGATATTAGATTCTAATACTGTGAATCCCTAGTAAATACTCCACACTAATAATTAGACATGATCCTGGTGCTAGTAGAGAAAGTGGGAGAGGCTGTAGTAGAATAGAATGGAAGATTTCATGTTCCAAAGAAATCAAAGGAAACATTCAGCAGAGTGCCTTGCCTCCTCTGGCACAGCTTGGCTGCCTTGCAAACATGGAAACAACAGAATGAACATGAAAGATATGAAACAATTCTCCTCTTATTAATGTCATGGACGTCATATGACCCAGACTCATATTCTTAGTTGCTGCAGAGGAAGTGCAAACCATGAAATCACAATTTTCCCACGTTTCTCAAACGACACCGAGGTTACCCAACGCTTCAACACGTTCCAAAGAAATCAGAAACCTGCTTGAATCAAAACAAAACATACCTATCCCAAGCATGGTATCACTTCAACAAACCATGGCAGATGCGACACGACCAAGTTTCCACGCTGTGTCTCCCCATGTTT